CAAAGACTCGAACCCAAGACCTCTTAGTTGGAAGTATAAACTCTCAACCAATAAGCCAAGGTGAGCACTGAAGGTGTTTATTTATTTTATTTTTATATAAAAAAATTATTTGATATCTGAAAAATATATTATTATTTAGATATTGATTAAATTAATTTAAGTGATACTTACAGTGGTTGTCGGCACCAGCACTCAGAGGCGGCGCTTGTAATGCCAGATTGCCAGTTGACAGTGGCTAAAGATGGCAATTATTGGTGGCCGATGGAGGCTAGTAGTGGCTGAAGGTGGTAATCGTCTAGTCGACCACTAACAATAATATATGTTTTGAGAAATAATCAAAGCACCTAAAAAATGATTTTGAATATTTTAAAAATGATCTTGCTTTATTTTTGAAAACTAAAAAAATAAAATATGTAAAAAATGCATTAAAATATATTAAAAAAATAAACAATGATGCTAAATAGACGCTAAAAGATTGATCTCTTGGAGCTTCCATATTTTTAATTGGTTAAAGCCTTAAAGGAGAGTTTTTGCGGAAAGTTTAAAAATACATAAAGTATTAAAATATTGATAGAAAATTTTATAATGTGGGCTCATATATAAATATTAATTATATATTATATGTGTTGTGTCCTGGAGTATTCGCGGTGGTAGAGAAATATATAGTTTAATGTCTTAAAATTGTATGAAGATCCAGCACACAATCAGATAAGAAAGAGAGTGTAGCGTTCATAAGAGACACCAGAGTTTTAACGTGAAAACCCTTGAAAAGGGGGAAAAACCACGGGGTCTGGCCCAGTTTGAATGAATCCACTAGAATTTACAATCAATTATAAACGAGGCCCTTCCTTGGGAGAAGGCATTGGCTTGATGGTACGAATATACATCATATAGAAGACATGTTTATTTGGTTAGCACGACCATAGTCGATAGGATAGAGGTCAGAAAGATCGTTGTCTGGTGATGGAGGTCAGAAAGACCATAGTAGGCGACGGGGGTCGGAAGGATCATAGTCGGCAGGAGATCGGGGTCAGAAAGACCATTGTCTGGTGATGGAGGTCGGAAGGACCATTGTAGGTGATGGAGGTCGGAAGGATCGTAGTGGTAGGGCGATATTTTGGTAGAACTACAGGCATCAGGCGGTGGTCCGGCAGAAGTTCGGGCCTCAGGTGGTAGTCCGGTAGAAATCCAGGCCTCATATGGTGGTCTGACAGAAGTCTGGGCGTCAAGTGGTGGCCTGAGAGTAGTCCGGGCCTCAAGTGGTTGTCCGGTAGAAATTCGAGCGTTAGGTGGTGGCCTGGTGGAGCACAGAGCCTCAAGTGGTGGTCCGACGGAAGTCTGGGTCTCAGGTGGTGGCATGCTGTAGCACAGGGCCTCAAGCGGTGGTCCGACGGAGCAACGACGTCAGGCGGTGGTCCGACGGAGGTGAGGGCCTCAAGTGGTGGTCCGACGGAGCTCAGGACCTTAAGTGGTGGTCCGGCGGAGCAACGACTTCAGGCGGTGGTCTAGCAGAGGTGAGGGCCTCAAGTGGTGGTACGTCAGAGTAACGACGTTAGACGGTGGTGTAACGGAGGTGAGGGCCTCAAATGATGGTCCAACGGAGCAACGATGTCAGGAGGTGATCCGGCGGAGGTGAGGGCCTCAAGTGGTGGTCCAGCGCAGCAACGATGTCAGGCGGTGGACCGCCTCAGGTGGTGGTCCGACGGAAGTTCGGCGGTGGTCGAGGAGGAGCTTCTTCCTTCTTTTTAGTCTCTTCTTCCTTCTTCTCTTCTTGCTTCGGTCCCCTTTCAAAAGGAATGAGGGGTCTATTTCTATATTTATGGAGTGACATGACTCGTAAATAGGTGAGAGATCAAGGGTAAATGGGGAGTGGTTGGATGGATGGCCGATACTGAATCCCTTGATAATGCACCATTCGACAGACATTTGAAGGCCTTAATGATGTTGGAATTCAACTATCTTGGGCTCGCTGGATTTGTCTCACCGAGCTGCTCGATTCGATTATAAGCATGTTATGTTTGGAAACCGTTTGCTAACCCAAATTGTGGTTCGAACTTTCCAATAGCGCTTCGAGTCCTTGATTTGGACTCATTTGGGCTCGGATTAAGTCGAATTTGGTGTCGTTGGATTCGTATTTCCGAGACTTTTAGTTCGACTATAAGTTTGTTGAAATCAGAGTTCGGATGGTCCCAGTTTTAATTTTGGAAGTTTCCAATTTGATTTTGCATCGAGATTCGTGCCGATCAAGATATTTTTTTGATGACGTATCAATATGCTATCTAAATTTTAAGCCGGATCAAATTAAAAATTAAAAATGGCCAGGCTTTAGAGGCATCTCATTAATTTTCAGAAATTTTAATAAAATAATATATACTAAAATATAAATAAAATCATTAAATTCTAATAGCTTGGATATGTGATCAAATTAGCATTGATGCATAAATAGAAAATTCATTCAATTAAGCTTGACCCTTGATGCAAGTTTATGAATTAAAATTTTCAACACCGAGTTTAAGCTTATCCGAACCTTGTTTTAGACAAATTTAGGCTTCGTTTGGGACGGCTTTCTTTCTACTTCTTAAAATAGCTTCCTAATACAAAAATTAAAAGCTACTTTAAGAAGCATAAATCAAGCCGCCCAAAACGAAGCCTTATAAAGGAAACAAAAGTTATGATGAGACTAACCAAAATACATCATAGGTGCATTGAAATAGTCCTAAATGAAGCATCCAAAGTGTAGTTGAAAACTTCATGTTCCTATTTGAGGGACCAAATGATTTTACGAATATTATGTATTTACAATCAAAATGAACATGTTGATAAGAAGAATCTAACGAGCTCTATATTATTAAATTTTGATATCACTAAAGCACTCAAATTCCTAAAAAATTTTATAATGAACACTAATTACGGGTGTCAATATTTGACACGACCCGAATCCGACCCAAAAATTTTGGGTTAGGGTCAACTCAAACCCGAAACGGGTCGGGTTCGGGTTCAACATTTCGACCTGTTTTAAAATGGAGTCTGTTTCGGGTTAACCCTTTGACCCGAAGTTGACCCGTTTTGACCCGAAAACCCAATTTTGACCCATCAACTCGAGATTGAGCCATTTTTGACCCGAAAAAGATGAGATAGACCAGTTTTTTACTCTAAAACTAGCAATTTTTTGTTGGAAACGGGTCATTCGGGTCGTGTCGGGTTGACCCGAATAGTGCCGGGTCAATTTTGGGTTCGGCCCGAACCCGACCCGTGACCCGAAATTGACACCCCTAACACCAATCACCCAATAGAATATTTAATAATTTAGGTTAAAATAATCGAAATATCTATATAAAAAATTATAAATAAACTCTAAATTTTGCATGATCTACATCTTAGATTATTCAATTCAGTCATATCTCATTATTTTTTCTCTCATGAACTTCTCTTATTTGTATATTTATGAATTTTTGTGCAATGCTTACACAAAAAAATCTCACTCTATCACTATCAATTTTCTATTGCCCATCAAATAAATAGAAACATCTATTGAGCTTACAGCATGATCTTCACTGTGCATATATTTATTCTAAAAAAATTAAAGAAAAAATGAACCTCCACAAAAGTTACTAATACTATAAAATTGAAAAAATAAAAAAAAAATAAAAAAATAAAAAAAATCAACTCAACATAACATTATAATTTTTTTTTTTTTTTTTTTTTTTTTAAAAAAAAAAAAAAAAAAAAAAAAAACCCAAAAAAAATTTTAAATTTTTTTTTTTTTTTTTTTGTAAAAAGAAAGGGAATAAACTTCTCTTAAAACTACAATTGTTAATCAACTGCCCCTTCACCTTTTATTTGCTTTGAATGCTTCAGAAAGGAGTTTTATTTTCAAGGAATTCACAGGAGCTACTGCGTCGAAGTTGGATTCTTGGCATCGGAATTGATCGAAGAAATACCTGCTTAACATAAGGAATCATTGCTTAGGCAATATTTTATACAGTATAGGATTGACTGACTTCAATCCAAAAATAAGTAATAGTAAAACAATCAAACAATCATTGCTTAGGTATTATTTCCCTTTATAAGGACAAGAATATTAAAGATTAGTGTTCTTCCTCGCAAATCTATTTTGGCTTTTTTCTCACATTTAAGGTCTGTTTGTGACGGCTGCAATTTTTATAAAAGCGATTGTAAAGTTGTTGTAGAGAAAATAATCAATTTGTAGTAGCTTTTTTATAATTGTGATTGTAGTTCGAAAAAGCAAAGTAGGAAGAAAGCTATCCCGAACAGACTCTTAAAATAGATAGTTTTGAGTTTGCACGCGCAGTTCACTGGGTGAGCGAAGTTGTTTCCTCCTACGCGGCTCACGTTCAAACTCCTAACTGCCCCCAAAAAAGATAGTTTCTTCTTTAAATTACAGAAGGTAAAGAGAAGTATCACAAGCAAATTCTAATGCGGACGGATGTCTATTATGCGTCTGAAAGAGGGACATTATGAGAGAGAGATTTCAAACGAGAAACAATGGTATGAGAAGATTAAACTTTTTGGAGAAAATTGAACTTTTTGCAGAAAACTAAAATACAAGGATGGAATTCGGAAGATTTCTCAATAACCTGCACCATGGATCCAAAACTATGAGGATTATGACAAAAAAAACTTATCCCTATGGCTACAATGGCATTATTTGGGTTATTATCTCCTTAGCTGCTTCTCTTTGGTGGAAATTTTGACAATTTTAAGTGAAGAATCCTTTCTTAGATTTATATGAATCTTTGAAAGCCAACGAAGACTCATTCTAAAAAATAATACTTCAAAATTCATAAATTCTACTTTCTTGTTGACAATATACCAAAGCAAGGAGTTGGAGAACGATTCAGAAATAGACATTCCATCTATAATAATAAGACATCCTCTTTCATACCAGCTCTTTGCTCAGCAGCTCGTTCTCTCTCTCCAATCTCCAACTCTTCTGCTCAAGATAGTTTAAGTGTTCCTGAAACCAGCAAAAACAACAATACATATTAATCCTTAAAACAAATCAATAATCTCTTTTCATGTCAACCATAAATCAAACCATACTTGCTTTTTAACTCTTGAACGAGCTGCAGATTCCCTGTTCTTCAACTTCCTAACCTGCCTCCTTTCAAATTCTCTGTCCACAATGCCATCCTCTGTCATCTTATTTATCTGATCACTTTGAGTTGTTATATCAAACAAGCTTTCCTGGGACCCCATTTCCATGGCAAGAGCATTCTCTGCTAAGCCTGAACCGATTATGGGACTTCCATAATACGGGAATTTTGATTCTAGAAGTAATTCCAATCTCTGTTGTAGATCAAACAGTGAAGGCCGAAACCATGGTTGGTAACTAAGACATTCTGAACTATTTCTCAGTCCATAGTCAGAATTCATCAAAAGATTTGGCAAATTCGGATCAAAATTCATTCCTTGCTGCATGCAGAGCTCGTTTCCATTCCAATCTCCATCAGAGAAACTGTAGAACCTCGTGGAACTATTATTTATACTTGGTGAATAAGTAGGTATGGAATTATTTAAAATTCGATTGTTTAAGACATCAAGAATTTCGCTGCATCTGCTTGGAGTAGAGCTTGCAATATTCTGATTGATCAAGTATGAAGAATATGGTGGTGTGTTGGGATAACGGCTAGTTAAAATGGAACTTGTATTGTCCAATTCATGAGTGATGGAGCTAGAATCCAGAGTGGTTAGGCAGGAAGAAGGTGGAGTGTTTTGAATCGGATTTAATGGTACAGAGGAGGCCGGGTTGTAATCAAATTGTTTGTGGTTAGGAAAGTCTTGGGGAAAAATGTTCTGATTCCCGTAGATTTCAGAAACGTGGGGTAGCCATTGTGAGTTGGGCTCCATGGTGTTCCTGCATTTTAGAAAACATAACTGTGAACATATATGAAATTGATACATTCAAACAATTCATGTACTTCAACTTAACGAAACATGCTGTTTGTTTTTTAAAGGAGAAGAATGAGTTTGAAAAGTAAGAAAAAATTGTGAAATATCTGAAAACAAAATGAAGAACTTCCATTCAATGGCGTTGAAAGATTTAAACAAGAAAGCTAATGCAAATTCTGCAAGCTCGATAAGAAAGCAATCCCGTCCATACACATGTAAAGCAACCTTGCACTTAGATATATATACATAGAAAGGCTACAATAACATGTATGAAATCAGTCTTACAAAAATATATAAATGATCAGTTCAGCCTTCTCCGCTTCTCTGCTTTTCCGTATGCAGTTCTATTCTTGCTTTACGTATACACAGGAACTTTCCTGTAAAGTTGTGCCTTTCTTCATGGTATCATAGCCAATTGGCTCACAACCCCAATCCCTACAAATGGCCTCATCCCCCACTTCTCACACAAGTGGATCTCAACAGATAACTTCTCAGAAAACCTTCATATACCCTCCTCTTTGAAGTTTCTCATCTCCAACATTAAAAACATGGTGCCCATACAACTATCAAATGACAACTAGCTAACATGGAGATCTCAAGTTCTAAAGTTGTTCCGCGCCAACACCTACGTTTCTTGCCTCGACAAAACCTCAGTTGTCCCTCCGCGCCTCATCATCCAGGCCGACGGTACATCCCACTCGAACCACTGGACATTAATCAACCAGAATCTTGTAGCCGCCATCTACTCACCCTATCTCCTATCATTATTCCCTATGTCCTCAACCTCGACACCTGCTCCGACATTTGGATTACCTTGGAACGTCGTCTGCAAGAAACCAACCGTTCCAGAGAAATACAATTAAAAAATGAACTCCACTATATCTCCATGGGCAACTCAACCATGCTTCGTCCATCAAAACCTTAGTAGACAATATTACTACCACCGGATGTACTATCGATACTGAGGATATCCTCTTGTACACACTTAACGGCTTACCCCTTTAGTACCAGGCATTCAAGACGTCTATCCACACCAAACTACCCATAAGCTTAGAGGACCTTTATTCACTTATTATCAGTGAAGAAATCAACGCGACAGTTGAATCAACCAAGGAATCAACAACCCCGAACATTTACTCCACTCTTAACCCCACTTGCGACCATGGCCGTGGCTGCGTGCGCAGGTGCTTCAATCAATTCTCCAGTCGAGTTTACTTCAATCAATATAGCAGTCGAAAACCAACAACATCATACAACCTGCCCACCTCCTCAACCATCATGTGCCATATCTATTGAAAAAGGGGTCACCTCCAACCCGAAAACCACCTCAAAATGGATCCTCGACTCGAGAGCCACCTCCCAACTGACAAATAACATTGACAATCTCTTCCAACCAGTGGAATACTATGGCAACGATAATGTCACAATCAGATATGGTTGCTCCCTCCTCATCACCCATTCTGGTCAAAGATTACTTCCCACACCTACTCGTAAGCTCTTTCTTCCCAACCTTCTTCATCTTTCACAACTATCTCACAACCTCCTTTCAATTTATCACCTCATGAATGACAATAATCTTTCGGTTGTTTTTAACACTTCTGGTTTTCACATCAAGGACCCAAAGACAAACTCAATTCTACTCTCAGGACCATGTCATGACGGCCTCTATCCGCTCTCCACTTACTCCGTCCACAATCACATACATCAAGCTTTTTCAACCACCGTCCCTCCTTCACTTTGCTGGCACCACTGCTTAGGAAATAATCATCAACAAGTCCTAGCTACTATATCCAAACGAAACAACTCTTTTGCAATACAATTATCCATTTCTCTTTGTTCCTCATGTAAGACATCAAAAGTTCATAAGCTTCCTTTCTCTATATCTACTAATCACCACTACAAACCTTTAGAATTAATCCACACTGATGTTTGGGTTCGGACTCGATCCCTTTAGAATTAATACTACGTACTTGTTGTAGACGCCTCGTCTCATTTTTCTTGGGTTTTTTCCTCTCATGCATAAATTAGATGTTCCCTCAACTTTTATAAAATTTCATAAGGCAATTGAAAAACAACTATCCCTCAAAATTAAATGCCCCTGCAGCGATGGAGGAACCGAATTCATAAACCACACTTTCCAAAATTAGCTATAGCTACATGGCATCTCTCATCAAATAATTTGCCCCTATACCTCTGAAAAAAATGGCCCAGTTGAACGAAAAGATCGCCACATCATAGAAACCATGAGAACCCAACTCACACAACACATCTTCCTTACAACTTATGGCTTATTACTCTACTTACCGCCATATATCTCATCAACCTCATGCCTTCACCAAAAACCTCAAACAAACCACCTCATCAACTATTATACAAACATCCACCCACCTACAATCACCTAAGAATATTTGGTTGTGCTTGCTTTCCTCTCCTTCCCCCCAAAACCCGTCACAAATTTTCAATAAAATCGCCACCCTCCTTATTCATCGCTTATGCCACATCCTACAAAGGCTATAAGTGTCTCGAACCCACACCTCAGGCTGCATCTAGATCTCTTGTCATGTCACCTTTGACGAATCCACCTTCCCATACTCCATTACCTCAACCATACCTCCCAAACTTCCTACACTTTCTCTAACCCTCACCTACTCCTACCAACATCTCTTATACCCACTTGAACTCACCAAACCGAACAACTAATCTCAACACTTCCATAGTAGCCAAACACAAGTCCAGCTGAACAAATCACTCACAAACAAAAACTCCCTCTCCACAAACAACATCACCTATACCCACCCTCACACAATCCAATCACCCAATGATCACTTATCTACAAACGAGCTCACTCAAATCACGTCAAATTCTGAAACTTCATAACCATCTCACAACCACCTTAGCCGATCCCACTACATATGCTGAAGCATCCAAACAACCTCACTGGAGATCAGTCATGGCAACAGAATTCTTAGCTTTACAACAACAAGGAACTTGGGTCCTTGTCCCTCCAATCAAATAAACCTATTCTAGGTTGTCTTTGGACCTACAAAACAAAACGTCATGCCAATGAATCCATTGCCCAATACAAAGCTTGCGTTGTAACACAAGGCAATCATAAAAAATATGGTCTCAATTATACAGAAACCTTCGGCATTGTAGCCAAATTTCCCTCCATTTGTGTCCGCACCACCACCCTCACAAAAAATTGGCCAATACATAAAATTAAATGTATCAAATGCAGCAATCCTCATATGCTGAAATCATTTTACAACAAGCGGGGCTAACCAAGTGTAACCCAATTTCTAACCCTTCCCACACCAAACCATATCCTTATCTCAAATTCAAGCACCTATCAGCAACTCACAGGCTCTCTTAAATACCTCACCATAACTCGCCCACATATCTTATTCGCAATTAACACTCTATGTCAGCACATGCACGACCCACTTTCTCCACATTATCATCTTCTCAAACGCCTCCTAAGATACCTTAAAGGTATACTACATTTCAGCATACTCATCTCCACCTCCTCTTTACAGCTCACTGCCTTTTTTGATGCCGATTGGGCGAGCGATCCCTCCACCCGCTGCTCAACATTTGGTTATTGCTCTTTCCTAGGCGACACAATCATCTCATGGATAGTAAGGAAATAGCAAACTGTGTCCCGATCCTCATCCAAGGCAGAATATCGAGCATTGGCTGTAGCAACCGCCGACATTCTAAGGCTATGACGTCTTCTCTCAGACTTTAATATTCCTCGGCCAATGCCAAACGGATATTCACTATGAAAATACATCCCCAATTGCTCTGGCCAACAACCCTGTGTTTCATGTTTGGACCAAACACATCAAAGTTGGTTTTCATTTCATCCGCGACCATATTTAAGCAGAGGAAGTCCGAGTGGTACCTATCAGAACAACATTCCAGATTGCAAATATCCTGACCTAGGTATCTTCTCCTCCGCTCCAAACTAATAGTTCAACCTTCCCTATTAACTTGCCGTGGCGTAAAATCAGCAACCTCTACCTACATAGTATCAGCAGCACAATCTGACAATAACAGACATGTAGAGCAGTACTCATCTCTAGAACATGTATGAAATCAGTCTTACAGAAATATAGAAATGATCAGTTCAGCCTTCTCCGCTCCTCTGCTTTTCCCGTATGCAGTTCTCTTCTTGCTTTACGTATACACAGTAACTTTCCTGTAAAGCTGTCTTTCTTCAGTAAATTCTCAAAATGTTAAAAATTGAAAAGATTTTAAGATTCAAACTTGAATTAAAAGAGAAAAAGAGACGTAATGAGGAGATATTATATAAATATTCAGGATTAATTTAACTTAAAATCAAAGAAAAATAGAATTTCATATTAAAATAAAAATTTGCAGCTTAAAAACAACTATTCGATAAGATTAAACATAAATTCTGAACGAAATCTTTCAACGAAAAAGCCCTCAATGTTTAAGAAGATTGAGATTTTTACAAGATAGCATTATGATAGATAGGAATTAAAAAAAAAACAACAGCTTAAAGAAAACAATCGAACGAGGATGAATCACGAAGAAAAATAAAGGAAAAAAGCGCGTTAAGAAAAGCTGAAACTTTGAAAGCACTGTAACGATAAGAGTGAATACATACTTTGAAATGAGTGCAATCTAAAGCGAAACGATCGAATTCAGCCAGAGATGAATACTTGCTTGTTTGATTCTAAGCTTTTGTCTGTATAACATTGGAAGTTAATAAACTAAACTGAGAGAGCAAACGCACGAGAGAGAGAGAGAGAGAGAGCTTTTCAAAGGTCGCCGTTTTCGGAGTGGAATGGACCAGAATGCCATTATATATAGTCCTCTGAAATTTCGTTCGGCGTTTATTTCATCAAAATTACGATAAGCTTCCTCATTTTGGTGCTTAAAAAGTGATTAATCGGTTAATGGAAAAATAATTATGAAAATTCGCATATTATA